TGATATTTTGAATAAGCTGTATCGTCTCATAAATTATGCCACTCAAGGCCTTTGTTTCATCATTACAAACATCAGTTGTAGTTGTCTCATGTAATCTATGTGTATAATCATCAAGAAATAAATGTTTCTGTGTTATTATGATTCAATTTCCTTGTAATTTACATTAATGTCCACTAGATGTGTTTTTTTACTCTAAATTTGAGGAAGAGGTGTGATATAACAAACTACAAGTAGCTTTATAATTAGTGGTTAGGCAATCATTTCTTTAAAGGATTATTTATATTATGTGCTGTGTGTTATAAGTGTTGATAGCAGATTTTCTCTGATTATACTTTGGAAATCTGAATAAAAATTTTATTTTTGAACTGTTGAATTTGATATTATGAAACTTACTTGAAGTTAATTTTTCTTAAGCCGTCTCAAAAATGAAAAATGAAAGAAGAAAAAATTACAACTATTTTAACAAAACGTTTTATAAAATTTTAATAAAATATTTGTGAAACATTAACATAAAATATATTGAATAATATTTAATGACTTGATGAATGATACTTTGATTACAAAATTGTAAAAAGTTTTTTTTTTTTTTTTTTCATTTTTTAAAACATATCGTGCCAAGTCTATGTTTATACTTTAATATAATCTTCAAATATTGAAAAAAGTATTCAAATGATGAATTTCGGCTAGAGTTCTGATTACTGATGACTCTAGAATTTTCTGATGTCTCAAATGCTTAATTTTTAAACTTTCCAAGCAAATTCGTATATTTAGAGCTAAAAGTTTTAAATGATGAGAATTTTGGCTAGAGTTCTGATTTTTGATGACTGTACAGTTTTCTGATGGCTCATATGTTTAACATTGAACTAATTAACATCTCAGTAATAGAGCTAAAATTTGGCTAATCTTTGGAATATGGTAACAGGTAGTTTGGTGACATTTTGGTAAGGCAATAAAGGTTGCTAGCTAGGACTTTAGCAGTGTACATGGATAAAGTCAAGACTGTGCGCAATGCCATTTTTGTGCAATACTGGGATGTTTTTTTAAGTGAAAACAGGTCGACTTGTACATGGTTACCGTGTATGTGCAATTCTTAAAAACGCGGCAAGCAGTTTGCGATTCTGCACTTTCTCCCAATTTCGCACCTAATTTTCGTCATGATTAAGCACTTTTGTTCCATAAAAGTTCTAGCATAAGCAGATTGTTGGAAAAAATGTTGAGTAAAAAAAAAAAAAAAAAAAAAAGCCTTTACTTCATGAAAACAAAATGGCATCCAAACAAAAGCTAGCTAGTTGCTGCAGCAGGGTTGGTTGCCAAAAAAAGCCGAGTTACCATAATCCAAAGATTAACCCTAAATTTTTCCAATGATGAAACTTGGCTAGAGTTCTGATTTTTCATTGATGACTCTAAAATTTTCTGATGGCTCAGATGTTTAATTTTGAAATTATCTAATTAACTTCTATATTGGGGGAAAATTTCAAATGTTGAATCTTGATTAGTGTTCTTTCTGATTTCTGATGACTGTATAGTTTCGTGATGTCTCAGGTGCTCAATTTTTAAATTATTCAGTTAACATCTATATTGTTGAAAAAAAAATTGAAATGATGAATCTCAGCTAGAGTTCTGATGACTCATGTGTTCAGTTTTAAAATTATTCAGTTAATATATTGGAGCTAAAAAGTTCAGAGTTCAGATTTCTGATCATTGCTCAGTTTTCTGATGATTCAGATGTTTAATTTTTAAATGATCTAGTGAGATGTGTAATGCATTTAATACTTAACAAAAAGATAATTGTCATAAAGTGCAGTAAATTAAAATACTGTTTTTATCTTCAGAGTGAAACTTTCATTACAGCATTCTAAAATGTTAGTTTTCTTGTTTTCTGTTAGCAAGCATGCAGATAACATTGTCAAACTCTATTTTAATATTCACCGTATTTGACGGCATATAAGATGCACTTTTTTCCCTAAATTTGGTCTCAAAAAAGTTACCTCCGTCTTATACGTGAAGGACGCAGGTTAACATTCAATACTGAATGTTATTTTTTGCCCTGATAAAGGTCTAGACACACATAACTTTTCTACATCTGCCATAATTATTTTGCGCATGCGTGAAATATCTGTCGCCAAAAAGCATCAGTTCGAAGCTGATGTCGAAGTTCGAACAGGTTTGATGGTCACATTACGTCTGTGGAGCTTTTCCTTCTTTACATAGACTTTTTTTGACTCGGCCGACACACGTGTCGGTATCGGTGCTACTCTGTATAAACGTGTTGGTATCGGTGCTTAAAACTATTTGTTTAAAAAAAATACCCTGGAAAATATGACTACAGGAAACAAGAGATTAAGCTATACAATTCAATATAAACTAGGAGTGTTAAACTACGCCAGAGAGCATGGAAACAGAGAAGCAGCAAGGCATTTCGGTCCGCCACCTACCGAAAAAAATCATATGTTCTTGGCGACTGCAGGAAGATCAACTGAAGACTGCTAAAAAACAAAACATAACCTTCGATGCCCAGCTGCATCTTGGCCTGAACTTGAAAATGCCGTAAAAATTGCACAGAAAATGCTAGCAGATTATGAAGAAAAATACTAGCATTTCATAGGTTTGTTATAAATGCATGCAAGAAAACTTCTTTTGAGTTCGGTCAAATAGGAAATATGGATGAAATTCCACTCACATTTGATGTACCATCCAACAAGACTGTGAGTATTAAAGAGTCTAAATCAATAACCATAAAAACCACAGGTCATGAAAAAACCCGATATATGGTAGTTCTAACATGTTGTGCTGATGGCACAAAACTACCGCCGTTTTTCCTATTCAAAAGAAAAACTCATCCGAAAGAAAAACTTCTAACGTGTGTAATTGTTCATGTTCATCCAAAAGGCTGGATGGACGAAGCTGGAATGAAACTGTGGTTACAGAACGTATGGGCGAGGCGACCTGGTGGACTCTTAAGAAAAACCTCTCTTTTGGTTTTGGATCAGTTTAGAGCCCATAGAACTGAAACCATAAAGAATACCAGAAAGCTGATAACCAGATAGCTGTCCTTCCTGGTGGACTGACTAGCCAACAGCAACCCTTAGATGTATTGGTGAATAAGCCATTTGGAAAAAGTGCGAGAATGATGGAACAAGTGGATAGGAGAGCCACATCACGCCCTCACACCCTCAGGTAGAATGAAGCGACCCTCTATTTCACAAGTGTGCGAGTGGGTAAAAAGATCTTGGGAGGACGTAAAGGCTGAAGTAATTGTTAAGTCCTTTAAGAAGTGCGGAATCAGTAATGCTCTTGACGGAACAGAAGACGTCACATTATTCGAAGAAGGTGATACACTGACTACCAATAAGTATTTGGACACCTGTGATAGAAAAGAAAAACTAACTTTATTCAAAATCAATAGTTGGTAGAGCCTCCACGAGAGGTAATTACAGCGTGGACCCTCCGGGGCATACTTTCCACAAGTATTTGTATGACAGCTAGTGGTATTTTCTTCACCCGGCTTGGAGAAGACATAGAAGTTCCTTCACCAATTTTGCGCAGGTAGTGCACCACTGAATTCGGCGATGCAACTCGTCCCAGAGGTTCTCGATAGGGTTCAAGTCTGGATTCTGGCAGGCCAGTCCATTCGATGATCTCCATTGGCACCATACCAAGCCTTGTTTAATGTCGAAGCATGACAACTGGCATTGTCGTCCTGAAAGTAACGGGTCCAACCCGTAAAACTGCCGCAACGTAGGAAGCGCATTGTCATCCAAAATAGTGCAGTAGGCATCGGAGTTGAGCTTACCATGAATGGGGACCAAGGGTCCCAGCCCATACCAGGAGAAACACCCCCAGACCATAATTCCACCTCTGCCGAACTTGACTGTTGGCACAATGCATTCTGGCAGGAGACGTTCTCCAGGTAGACGCCAGACCCAGACCCTGCCATCTGAACGATAAAGGGTGAACCTTGATTCGTCACTCCAAAGAACCCGTTTCCACTGATCTACGGTCCAATTTCGATGTGCTTTGCACCACATTAACCGAGCAGCGCGTTTGGACTTTGTGATCAAAGGCTTATGGGCAGCAGCGCGACCATGAAAACCAAGCAGATGTGCTTCCTTACGGATGATATTCATTGAAACAATACTCCCGGATGCCTGTTGAAATTCCTCGCGGATGAGGGCCATCGGTTGGGTGCGGTTCTTCCGAATTTCTCTGGACAGCAGTCGTCGGTCTCTATCTCCCAGTTTCGCTGGTCTGCCGACTCGGGGCACATTCCGACTGCATGCGACTAAAGCCGATGCTGTTTCCTACACGATATATACCGGCGGAGTCCGTGACGTACCTTAGGACCGCAGATATCGTCACTTTCATAGGTGTCCAAATACTTATTGGTAGTCAGTGTACTAGCGATGACGGTAGTGATGCCGATATTCTCATTTTCGATGATGATGATAGTGAAAAGGATTTTTATGGTTTTGAAAGCGATTAAAGTCTAATTTCATGATAGGCAACGTTTTCCTTGAATCTGTGTCTTTTGTTGTTTCTGCTTTATTTTGTATTATGTTTGATTGCTTGCTGTTTATTCATTTATTCATTATTGAAATTTACATATCATGTTCAAAATAGCTTGCCGTTTGTTAATTTTCCTTAATAAAAATATGTTTGGTAATTGCATTCAATGATTGTTTATTTGGCTTTTACGAAACGTGAGAACTAAAAGAAACCACATTTTAAGTTATTTGCGCGGACTATTGAAACTTTGTTTCCTTGTTTGTGGCCTTCTAAATAAGGGTGCATCTTATATATGCCAGTGCGTCTTATATGTCGTCAAATACGGTAGTTGCTGTTTTGTAAGCACCATAGTAAGATTTAAGCGCATATATTCCTTTATAGGTCTTTATGTATTATTAAGCAATTTTTATTTAGAAAGTTCTCGTAACACTACCAATGATATTGAGAAAAATTCAAAATTATTACTATATTTAGTTCTTTTTTATTATTCATAGCCCATTGAAAAGTATTCACAAGGCCCCAAAATATGCAAAGTGAATTTATGGCAACCAAGGTATGTGGACATGTAAAGCAAATGAATGCTGATTTCTGTCTTCAAATGTGACTGCTAGTGCTTGTTTTTGCATTGAGTTTTTTTTTTTTTTTTTTTTTTTTAAATATTGTAATGGGAGTGTGCAATGTGCCAACTGAAGAAAAAGATAACTTTTTCTTCAGAAATATGGCATTTTGCCCAACAGAATAATCAAAATTTTACATTCCATGAAGTTGTACATTTTAAACGATCAAATTTTATGGATCAAAATTTGTACAGTTCTTTGATGTTTTTTAAGCAAAATAGGTAGCTATGTATATGAGGAGAACAAGTGAAAAAATGACGTAAGGTTTTTATGAAACAGGTAAGTGTTTTATTGTAGATGCTTTGCTTTTAAAATTTTATCGATTCATTGCTCTGTTACGGAATTAGTGCCTTGTCATATTTAAAATACTGCTGCCTTTCATGTATTTGTCACCAATAAGTTACTGACTTTTTGGAGGGGGATATAGATAATCAGAAAGTGCTCAAGTATTTGGAAGTGAAATCTTGAGATTATCTTTTAGAGAAAATTAAAAAAAAAAAAAAAAACTGCCTTTTGGATAGCTTTGCTCATGAATAAACAGTGCATTAAATACTTTTTCGATGTTTTGATAATGACTTTGTTGGGAATCTTATGTTAATTAACTAGATACGATGATTTCAGTCTTTACTGTAACTTCTTTCTGTATTCATTATCAGAATGCAAATTAGTAGTTGAGTGTTTAAGCTGACCTTTTTGGATTTGAGACAGAAAGTGTTTCTGGCATCATGTGTGCGTTACATGGTTAGTTCCTGCCAGCTCTAAGAATTGTAATTAATCAGCTTTATAGTCTCTTGCTGCTGACAGATTAGTTCTGACTTCTGAATAGAGTTATTGAGCCAGATTGTAGTACATTATTCAGTTGTGTAGTCTTTGACTGCAGCTCAATGTTTTATTTAAATTTGACTGTTTATTTTCATCATCATGAGTTATGGTTATTGTAGCACAAGAGCATGCACCTATGTTCCTAAAAATTTTGGCATTTGTTTTCAGACCTAGCAATAACTCGTTTCATGTCTGTTAGGGTTATAGGACTTGTGTAGCATTACCAGATCAAGTGAAACCCTCTATCTTATTGGCTATAAATGCGTAATAGATTAAAATGCTGTGGATGAGTCAGCATTTTAAGAATAAGGAAACAACATGTTTTTGCCATTGATACTGGCTGTGTTGGGCTCCTGTTCAGATGCAGCCACTGCAGTATGAGTAAAAACAAAGGTGTAGGCATGCATTTCATTATTTTATTTTTAAAAATTTGAATTATAGTATATTAAGAAAAAATAATGGTTTTGTTACATTTCAGCTTGTATTCTTTTAATAATAAATGTTATGGTTAAAGATAGTTATTAAATAATAAGTTTTACAATAACTAAGTTCATATAAATGAAAAGCTACTTCCCTATCATATTGCAGGCAACAACAGTAGTTTTCAAAGGACTATGCCAGGAAAATGGTGAGTGCTTTCTCATTTAAATCTCGAATAGAGAAAATAGTATACTCATAGAAAAATTGTTAAACACATACAAGATGAATCAGTGGTCTTTACAAATTGTTAGAAGGGATACCAAACGAAAGAATACAGAGAAACAGGTCACTTTACTGTGAACCATTTACAGTCAAAAGTCTAATCTGGACGTCCATAATCCGGAATGATCTATAATCCGGACCTCAAAGCTACAGACTTTCTGCACATGCGTAAACGCATAATGCATTTACGCATGCACATATGCATTGACGAATGCGTATAATACGTTTATGCGTGCGCATTTAATGTATAACAGACGGTATAAGCTAAGCTAAAATTATCTAATTATCTATTTCAGTTAATGTTGCAGATTGCATTTTCCTTAATCTTCTAATTGGATCCGGTTTATTATTTTTTGCAGACTGTTAGAGCAATTTTATAAAAAGTAAGCTTGAACTTTCGATTATGTCAAAAAGAATTTCTGATTCTGGAACTGCCAAAGGGTCTACAAAGCGAAAAGATGTTTCGATGTCCATCAAACAAAAAGTGGAATTGCTGCAAATGAATGCAATGAATAAAGGCATATCCTTTGTTTCTCTAACCATTCTGAAATCTGTTTATCAATTTCACGCTACTCTGTGTGGGGAGGGGGGGCGTCGCGCAATGAACTGGAAGTTGATCTGTCAGCACTATCCTTATCTTCAGAGCAGATGTTTTTATTTTCTTCGGCTTATAATTCCTTACTAAACGTAGTATTTCATCTCGATGTACTCCGTCTTTGATATGATTTAAATCAAATTCCTTGTCATTATAAATATCACGAATACACATCAAATAGTTTTCTGGTTGCAATGTTCTAATTTCGACTATGCGTAATGTATGCTTTACGCATACGTGCGTTGAAAGAAATGTTTGTAAAGTAAACAAATAAATATTAAGCATTTTATTTTGTAAATTTTGATAACCTTTAGATCATAATTGCTCTTTATTTCATAAATTACGGTTTCATATTTTTTATTTTGTAATTTCTGCATGCCATCTTACCAGATTTAAACTGCTATGATCCAGAATCGCCGAAGTCCGGACGAGTCCGGATTAAAGACTGTTGACTGTATACAGTATTTCAATGTGCAGAAAATACATAGGGGAAAAAATGCTTTTGATGAATTATTGAAAGCAGTTTTGGAAATATGGCCTATAACAGGGGTGGCAAAAATATGGCTCGCGAGCCTAATATGGCCCTCGCAGGCAATTTGTGCGGCTCATGCATATAAAATATATGTATGAAATATGGTAAACTAAAACTATTCAGTGTCGATAAGGAAGTAATTAATTAGTTTAGTCTCTTTTTACAAAGTTATCAGGGATTTTTTTCTATTTAAAATCTCCTCCACTACTTCTATAATGATGTAAATATGAACTTGTGGCGTTTAGAAAATCTAGATGCGGCTCTTGAACATTCCCAAATTCAAACGTGCGGCTCTCGCTGACATGAAGTCCAACCCTGGCCTATAATGTAGAATGATGTCATAAACATTAGTAAAATATTCTGATAGGTATGTTTTAGTAAGTAAGCATATGCATTATATTATTCATTATTAAGTTATTTATATTTATTCCTTTCCTACACATTTGCACTTCACAACCTCGACAATTCATTCTGGATCGAGAGGCACCATGAAGAGGAAATAGTAGTAAATGAATTGGCTAAAAATATATCTGTCTGTCTCTTACTAAAAAATGCTGCATAAAAAATACTTCATCCAGGGTGGATTTTAAAGGGATTGGCTATCTAAGTAATCTCAAAATACTGGAGCTGAAAATTCAGATGATGAATCTTGGCTAGAGTTCTGATGACTCATTTTTCTGATGTGTTTAGTTTGTATTTATTCTGAAAATAAAATATATGTAAGTTTTTCATGTTTTATATTAGCCTTTTTAACCTAATACTGAGATATTTAATGGGTATTACCTATTAAATATTTTGTCTTATTTCATATATGTTTATTGCAGTTTTAGAATATCTGAAATGAAATAATTTATCATTTTTTATTTCATTTTTCACTGTAAGCAATTTATCCTCTTCCGTGGTTACTTAGTACAGTCAAAAGTCGTTAATCTGGACTTGTTGGGACTTCGGAGATTCCGGATTATAGATCATCAGTTTAAATTTGGTAAGACGGCATGCAAAAATTATAAAATTAAAAACATGAAACTGTAATTTATAAAATAAAGAACAATTATGATCTAAAAGGTATCAAAATTTACAAAAAAAAAAAAAAAAAAAAAAAAAAAAAAAAAAAAAAAAGCTTAATATTTATTTGTTTACTTTATTAAGCATTTCTTTCAATGTAAGTTGTTTAAGTTGCTTCGTTTTATGTGATAATACTTTAATTCTATAAACAGACATAATTTCTTCCTCAGTTACAAAGTTCCGCTGTTCAAGTCCTATAATTGCTGTGTCGACAATACCGACTAATTTGTCAATCGAAATTTTTTCGTTTTCAATAACCTCTGTGTCACTTTCTTCACTATCGGAAACGAATTATAATGACGAGGAATTTGATTTAAATCATATCAAAGACGGAGTACATCGAGATGAAATACTACATTTAGTAAGGAATTATAAGCAGAATAATATAAAAACATCTGCCCTGAAGATAAGGATAGTGCTGACAGATCAACTTCCAGTTCATTGCACAACGCCCCCCCCACAGAGCAAATGCATTATATTATCCTTGGGCCTACATTAATAATATAATGCATTATATTATCCTTGGCCTCATCCTTGGGCCTACATTATGGAACCTAGTAAGTAGCCAGTAAAGCTCTTTTAACTCTAAATAACCTTTCAAATACCCATGCTCAAGCATATGCCAATAACTTTCTTCTATGACCTTTCCAACGACTTTTTTTTTCTTTCAATGGCAATAGTCGAAGAAATATAGAAGAAAATGCTCATTGTTTATTAATAAGTTTTCAACATTAGGCTACAAAACATGATCTTAAAATTTCACTTCCATTTACATTCCAAAGCCAGGCTCCAGCACCAGAAATATCATAAATCCCATCATTAAACTTACAGAAGGTAATATCAAAATAGTAAATTATTTCATGTACCTAGTTATCATAATAGATAAAAATCTTTCATAACATCAACACATTAACCACCTCAAAAATAAAACAACGATATTGTTGAATTCATTAAAATCATTCTTTTTGGAGCTTCTGCATGGGCATTAAACCTAAATTATCACAAAAAAGACAACTTCTCTCAATACAAAGACTCTATTACTAAAGCTTGATCTCTATTACTAAAGCCTACAGAACTACTTCCACTAATGCACTACAAATCATTTCTGACATCCCACCTATCACCTTAGGCCTAGGAAAAAAAAAGCAATTAAAACCAAAGTATCAAGACTCAGGCTCACAGGACATTTTAATAATAAAACTTATCAACCTCCCGACTATGATATCACGCTGCAATCAAATATCAACTTAATCACTAATGATTTCAAACTCAATACTTCTTTAAAAAATTTCCCTATTCCTATTTATACACATGGATTCAAAATGGATAAAGGAATAGGCTGCATATATTGTGTCTTCCGTTATAATACTCTATACAAAACCTGGCAAATATGACAAAATCAGTATTTCAAGCAGAATTATTACCAATCAAAGAAGCACTCACTTTTGCAAATCAACTTCAAGAAAGAAGTGTTATAATTACCGATAGCTTTTCCAGTTTTCAAGCAAAAACCAGCCTCAACCGATCACCAATAGTCAAGGACATTAATACTTGACATAATTGAGCTTCCCCAAAAAACTATTACCAAAATCACATTGGACTAAGCCAGGGATGCAGCCAATAATTCTTCAGTGCTGCATTTATTCATTCCTAATCCTATTTTGTTTTTAAATTCCTGCTTAGAAAGCAATCTCATCTCCAAATGAAAAATAGCTGAAAATCCAAAGAAACAGGAAGAAGACACATTTCAATTTTTACATACCCCTCCAGATATCTCATCACTACAAATTGTTCAATCACCTACTTTTTAACAGCTGTTAAAAATCCAAATTTTGTAGTTCAGGAACACGATTTTGCTGTATGCGCAATGTGTTAATGACGTAATCCGTGCATTTGGCAAGGGTTTACTGTATATAAAAATACTTTTACATGGGTTTAGTTAAATACACTTCGAAAGTAAAAAATAATTGTTTAGCTATCATATTATACGTATAAAAAATTTTTATAATTTATAATTTAATAAAAATTTTTGGTGATTGTAAATATTAATAATATATGTAAATATCATTAATAATGCCCAAAACATCAGATGTGTTGACCAAGGAAAAGGATTGATTTTCCTTACCAATCCAAAGGCTGGCTGCATGAAGTTGTTCGTCACATGAAATGCAAATGTGTACCAATTTCTGTAACAAAAAAGTCCTTCAAGATAATGTTCCTCACTTATGGAGATAGTCTTCGTATGCTTTGCCTTAATTAATCAATCATATAATCAGCAATCTGATGCAGGAGAGGTCCACATAAGACTCAGTTTTACTATTTTTCCTAAATATTTAACATTTTTGAAAAAATGTTTCACTGCTTTTTAAATATATCAGTACAGCAAGTCTAGGAAAGTGCTGCTATGCAAGTCTTCATACATAACAAATTATGTTGTAATAAAGTATACAAAAATGTTGACAAATACACCCCTATTACCATTAAATGTTTAATTTTAAAATCTCAAAACAACCTTTTTTTTTTTTTTTTTTTTTTTTTTTTTTTTTTTTTTTTTTTTATACATAAAACTAAAAACAACTCACTTCATAAATGACATCATGATTAACATTTGTACTGCATTCATGGTGCAGTATAGTTTGCTTAAATGCACTAAGGATGTGCAGCCCTTAGGGTGCTGTTGTAAATTGTAAATTATGTGAATATTGTTTGCATTTTAGTTTTTATATATTTTTGTATATTTATTTTAGTATATACAGTCATTTTATATTTACTTACAATGTATGTCATTTAATCTTAAATATATTGAAACATTTTTGTTTGCATATGTCTATTTCATATTTTATTTCATAGAATTTGCTTTCTGAGTTGATTGACATTAGAATTGTAAGGCAAGAATAGTATTGGCATTAGAATTGCTCACATTTAGAACTGGAAATATAAGCCCTACCAAGTTTTACTCACCAGCTTTACAACACTCTGAAAATCCAGAAAATTGTTTTTTGAAGCTTTAGCAGCAATTTCAGAAGTGCTTATCGTTCTGTTTGAGCATTGGGTGTGGCTGTAAGCTAGGTGGATTGAGATTTTTGGTCCGTTTTACAATGCTGAACTTTCTGCTTAGTGATTATTGCTTTCAGGCTTTACTAGTAAGTGATCTATATTCTCTTTGTAGCTTTTTGTATCTATAATATTATTTTGTAATCTCTGTAGTCTTTCTGAACTATATTTATAGCTGTGTGTTTTCTTTGTAAATGCTGTTATTGATTTTCAAGTTGAAATAAAGTTTTATTTTTATTTACTTGGTCTAGTTATTTATAGAGATATATAGAAAGTTATAATATATATTGGTTATGATATTTCTTTTAATTATTGTTTTGTTCTGTTTGAGTTTACGATTTCAAAATATGAACAAGCTGTAATGAAAATTGGCATTCAATAGATGTGCAGCCAATAAACTGAAGAAAAGATTTATTTCAGAAGTATACATCACAGAAGTATTATTTCAGTATCATTTCAGAAGTATTATTTTTTGACATGAATATCTGTCGCAGAGCATTCCCATACAGATAGGATGTGTGGTTGTGGTGGGCTTTGGGAATACAGCACACGATAGAGTGAACCTCTATTTGGAAAAGCCATCAAAATTGCAATGGAGAAATCCTCATTAGTAGCATTGTGCTATTAAATTTTGGCTCAAATTGAGCGAGACCCCAGGCAACACTTATCAGATGATTCAAGAGGCCTTTGGTCATGACTCTGACCAAATTCCAGTCGGACAGATGGCACAAGATGCTCAGAGAAGACTGAGAAAATGTCATCCGGTAAAGCCTGCTCTGAACACTGTGGGCTGAAGTTGAATTCCGATTGAAGAATAAGTATTTGGCTGTCAGGGGACAGACACACTAAGCATTTTGAAATGACTGAAGCAAATGATTAACTATGTTAAGAATTAGATCAAGGATGACAGTTCCATGCAGTCTCATCAATAAACATTGGAGGTGCAATAATTCTGTGGCTCTACTATAAACTTGATAGTTTTCAAAACTGTAATTAAAAAAATGCTCTTGATTTAATCCCTGATACTCAGTATATTAATCTAGAAAATGAGTACTTCATTTACTGAGTAGCTTCAGAAACTTTCTAAAAGTAATATGCTATTCCCTGAATACACTGAAATGTACTTTTTTCTTGATGATGTAGAAACAGAAATTTGAGATGTGACAAAATTATGACAAATTAATTAAACATGTCCAAATGAGAGGCAATACTATAATATAATTGTATACTTATGCTACTTTATGCTTCACATACTTACTTTCATGACTATCTGTTTTATCAAATTTTAGCAATCTGACATGACATATAGGCTGGCTGCATGAAGTTGTTCCTCACATGTAATGCAAATGTGTACCAGTTTCTGTAATAAAGTCCTTCAAGATAATGTTCCTCACTTATGGAGATAGTCTTTGTATGCTTTGCCTTAATTAATCAATCATATAATCAGCAATTTGATGCAGGAGAGGTCCACATTAGACTCAGTTTTACTATTTTTCCTAAATATTTAACATTTTTGAAAAATGTTTCACTGCTTTTTAAATATATCAGTACAGCAAGTCTAGGAAAAGTGCTGCTATGCAAGTCTTCATACATAACAAATTATGTTGTAATAAAGTATACAAAAAAGTTGACAAATACACCCCTATTACCATTAAATGTTTAATTTTAAAATCTCAAAACAACCTTTTTTTTTTTTTTTTACATAAAACTAAAAACAACTAACTTCATAAATGACATCATGGTTAATATTTGTACTGCAAGATAACAATATTTATTGATCACTTAAACAATTTCTAGGTATGACATTAGGATTCTTTTTTCCCACAATGCCCTTCTTATTTCCATCACAGAGATGTACAATATTTAGATAGATGATTTAAAACCAGTATCATTTCCATATACAAATTGTAAATATGCAACAAACAGCAACAAAATAATTTATATAAAAGTGGGGGAGGGGATTCTCACTTTTAAAAATCTTAACTTGGCAATAGAGCAGCCAATGCATTCCTTGCCAATCATAAAAATCCAGAAACTCAGAATTATATATAGAATAAATTATTAGGCAAAAGCTACAAGACTTAATAGCAGTATAAGCCAAAAATTGGGAGGGGGTGGGGACTTTCTCTGACACAAGTTTATGTTAATTTATAAAAAAATTAAGAAAATGTTCAAGAAGTGCAGGATTCATATACAAACATGTATGCTTTTTAAATTAGAATGAAAAATTAAAATACTAAAAATCTGACAGAACAAGCAAAGCTTTTCTGGCATAAATTCAAATATGAAATGACTACACTGAATTCCATATTCCAAAAAACATTTTTTTACTTACATCTGTGCATAACATTTGTATACATTAATAAATATGTAAACATTACATTCATATAAAATCTTAAAATTATTCTTCACATAGTTTTGAAACTTAATATTTTGTGATAGTCAAATGTCAGAATATACTCTCTAGGAACATTTCATAGCATTTGCTACTGTAAAATTTTAATGCAAATGATATATATATATTACATACTTAAAACTAAAATGATATTAGATGTGATAAAAAGTACCTGAATATTAATTAATACCCGTGATTCTTGTAGATGTAGGTAACTTGCTAGTAACTTTAATTGGCAATACCTTGTCAGTAATTATCTGACCAGCTAATTACAGCCAAATACAAGTAAAATTGTATGTCTTCTGTTAACTGCGTATTTAATCTTTTTTCCTATCTATTTTTTGTTAATTTTGCCCTCTAGGGGTAAAGGTTTTTAAATACTGGTATATAAAATCTGGCTGACTGCATGGTTTTTCCCATTGTAATGTGGATGCATGCCAGTGTATCTTCTTGTGTCAGATGCCTCCATGTAGGCATTCCTCTCTATGGGCAGATAGCTGTCTTAATTGATTGCTTTGGCTTGATCAAGTAACTTAAACTTTTTTTGGTTTTTCTTCCGTTTCAAAACCATGTATTTCCTATGTAATAAAAACAAACTGTTTCTTTTTTTCAAATTATGTTTGTTTACTTATGTACTTAAAATGATCAACCTAGATAAATTGTTAAGAATGACACACACATATGCATATATCTTCTATAGCAATCTGCTGTAGTATATATATATATGTATAATTTAGTATTTGTTCAAGAGCAATTCCACAATGAAAACAGGATATTGTTATGAATTTTGAGAAATATTAAGACATGATTTCAAGCGTTCTTTTTCAGCATTTTCAGAACCATTAACCAATAAAAAATCATTAACAATAAAATGAACTGAAAACTGTTTTCCAGAAAATGTTTGTAATGCTCTTTGATGATTTTAAGCAAAATTGCACTTTAAATTTTTTTGAAATGATAAAATTTCATGGAAGCAATTGCATAAATATTTTTAAAGCGACTCTGAGAGTCATTGCATCCAAATGCAGTAGTATTTAAAATTATTTAGTAGTAAAGCAAAATAAATTAGCACTGGAACAATTGCACTAAATGCATAAATTAATCAGTAGAAATAAAAATTTATGATAATTACGGTTGCTTTTAAAATCTTATAGAAGGGGGGGGGAATAATCACATATTATTTGAAAACAGGCTTGCTGTAGTCACAAGAAATTTTTGTGACTTCTTGTTTTTATAAGAGATGATCTTCATATCATTGCATTTAATATGATGATGTTACCTTCAAAATTCATGAAAACAACAGTTAAAATGCACTCTGAATATGGTTGCCATATTTTCATAGAATTCCAAATTTCTTCTTTTGAGTTTGTATGAACACAGAATTCTTAGTCTTAGAATGCTAGACTTTGGATTACAGTTTAAGAAAGCCACTTTCAAAAAGCCTGCTATATATTTCTGACAGTCTGAAATAACAAAATGTTTTATATTAATAATAAAATTAATTAATAGTAATAAATTTATAGTTGCCAACTCTGCCGGTTTTATTTTTTTTTTTGCCGTTACTAAAGAAAATGTTTCCCTGCAATAAATGAAACTCATATTAGGCAAATTCCACTCTCTCTAATGGTTTTCCTTATTAAATTTTATTTCATCTCGGCTGTATTTTTTATTTTATTAATCTTAGCCTCACTACTGTAGATATGTGTAGATTTTAATATCAAAATACAAGCAATGTTTAAGATACAATAACACACCGAAGAAGTATTAATTCAGAAGTCAAACAACAAAAATCAGCATTACATTTTTAAATTTTCACAGGTTTTACCGAAAACGTTTGGTCTTTTTTTTTTTTTTTTTTTTTTTTTTTTTTGGCTTTTGCAGCTGAGGATGACGGTTTGGTAAAACCATCGAAACTAGTCCTGTGAAAATATAACGCTGATTTTTGTTGTTTGACTTCTAAATTAAGCAATGTTTAATTAGTAAATATCCGTATTTAATTTGGTTACTTCAATAATATGGTACATTACTAATTAATTTCATTTTCAGAATATGTAAAAGTACTTTGATAAAAAAAATGCTTTCTGTCACTACTCGGGATTTTCTCAGTGTATTGGAGTGAGAAAATTAAAAAATGAAATTAGCCAAAGAACATAAAACTTGGAATATTCAATTAAATACTAATATATTTTACATCAGAATTAATTAAAAATAGTTCAATAACCTGAACCATGTATTATAAAGTGAAATTAAGTCGGTTTGAGATTCCTTTAAAATGGTATCACCACAAAGTGTGAAAACTTTTCGGGTTTTTAAGATTTCTAAGTTGGAGCTTTATCTTAATTAAGCCATATTAAATTATACAAATTAAAAAAATCTCCATTTTTAAACAAATTTAATTATTTAAATGTTACAAGTTGATTAAATTAATCTTTTTTATATTTTCGAGAGATGACAAAAAAGCAAGTATTAGATGTAAAAACATCTTTCAAAAGATTTGGGACAGCAGAGTTTGTATATCAAACAATCAATAAAACAATATTTTAAAACTAATACATGACATATACCAATGAATTAAAAATTGTGTTTTTCTTTATTTTAGCTGCTGCTTATTAAAATAAATTAAACCATTTGCTTTCTTAGTGAACATGACTAAATGCAGACAAGAAACTTTTTTTCCATGTTTATACATGTTCAAAAACTAATAATTTTATATTATAAAATAAATTTATGAGAATCGTCTGTAAATGTGTTCAGCCACTTAATTTTATAAACGTATATAAAAATTTCCTGCACATTCAGAATATAGCATCATGTGGATGCATTCTAGACTTATCTCTGCATAGAGAATGATTCATTTTTAAAGAAATTAAAAGAAAAAGGTATCATTACTAGTGAAACAACAATGAGATTAAAAAATGACACATCCAATTGTCAAATAATCAATAAAATCAAGTGGGTCTAGCAGACAAATAGCACGACAGAAGTTTTATGTAAGTAAAAATAATAGGAATATATGTGAACTGTTTGCAAAATCTATAGTAATAAAAGATCGTACTTTTATGAATTATAATTTTTGTATACAGATGCAAAATGAATACTTTTGATAATATAGAAGACTATAAGAGAAACTGGAATTGAGAGTCTTAAAATAAAGAACATGGAAGTATAAATGATTTGGAAAATGTATATTTGGTTGCTGAATTTGTTAAAATACGGTGGACCATTTAATGCATCTCTATATACCACATCAAGATGTGAACTATGCACAGAATTAAATCTGTGAAAAAATTCTATTAAGACAGTGATCTCAAGCACATATATCCTTATACACCTCCACAATCCCCAGATTTCAGTTTGGCATATTTGCCAAAGGAGCCTTTAACTATATATTTAACATTATATGTATAAACTTTCTCTGTTTACTTACTATTTCACTTTTATATGGTTTGGTTTATGCGATTATGGCAAAGCTTCAAGGGTTCTGTGTAAGGACCCGGGAGGACTTTCTAAGGGAAACTGGCTTGTATACATGTTATACATTGGAAAAACCACGAAAACGCTAATGCAGCCAACCTATTCATAGGATTCAAACCTCGGACCAAACTACCAGTGTTCAATGACCTGACCGCTCGTGGCAGACATTTGTATGAATCTGCAATTAAAATATGCTGTTTTAAAATGCCTAAAATGACAGTTACCTTGTGTTAAATTCATACGCTACATGAAAAAACTATATTTTTTAAATCCTTCAGATAGTGCTAATTTATTTTTACCTTTCTTTTCTAACCAAATTTGCTTTGCTTTACTTAATCAGTTACATTCTTTCCCCATAACATGCGACTTTTTATGCACATTTCTGCGTAAAAAATGCATTTAGTTTTTTATATTTACATTATGAAATTTAAATCTTCCATTATTCTGTATGTTGTATCTTTGAGCTGTATTACAGTAAAAAATAATAAATAACACAGTAGACATATTTAAATACGCTATTTCAAATTATCACTTTTTAAAGACCTGTTACAAAAATGAGCATTTTCTTTACTCTTCCAAAGATCCCACATCAATCATTACTAACAGTTTTTTTCAGTATATCATTACAACTTGCTATATATACTAACAGACTTACAGAAGATCATTCAGTTTGATAGTAAAGTAATAATATTTAAATTTATAATTCAGTGACTCAATAATTATTTGATTAAATTCTATGTAGGAAAAACATTTTGAGTGAGAATTTGAGTGTAATGTCTGCTCTTAATAATTAAGATAAAGTAACACATCGAACAAGTATTAATTTAGAAGTTAAACAACAAAAATCAGTGTTATATTATCAAATTTTCACAGGTCTAGTTTTGGTTTTACCGAACCATGTTCCTCAGCTGCCAAAGTGCAAATGAAAGAAAAAATCTTTTTTTTTTTTTTTTTTTTTTATTTGCACTTTGGCAACTAAGATGGTTCAGTAAAACCATCGAAACTAGACCTGTGAAAATTTGAAAACATAACACTGATTTTTGTTTTTTAACTACTTCTAAATTAATTTGTCTGCTCTTAGTTGTAC